AAATAATAATTTATTTGATTAAAAGATTATTATTTCATTGTTTATTTATTTATTTTCATATAAAGGCATCTATTGTATGTTTATTTTAAAATTTGGATTGATTTTCCAAATCAACAACGTGTACAACGTCAACGAGAATATCGTCGTGAACAATTTCGTAAATGTCTACTTGATATTATACCTGATTTTAATCCACCTAAACAAGATATCAATGAAATGGACTAAATGTTTACATAAATTGTTATCATTGTTTAAGTCAAAACTGTAATTATGTAATATTGTAAAGTTTCTTGTTGTTGTTATTCTGATTAATATATTTGTTTTATAAAAATGTAATAATAATGTAAAATCTCAAATCATAATATTTCATGAGAGCTGCTAAGTTCACTACTTCGTTAACACAGGATACAATCACAATTGATTGATCACTAGGTGGCGATCAATGTCATGCGTGTCCAGTCCTTACTAGTGCAGATCGAATGCTATCGACCATGTTGCAATATGGCCACCACCCTAGGTGACTCGACATTGCGTGCACTATTGTGAGATTAGATAGTGGTTGGAGGTAGTTAGTGAATGATGCATAGAACGAAAGCTCATGTTATGTAGAATAAAATAGGGACAAAAATAAATATAAGTGTTTTACAAGGTTTGAATGAAATTAAATAACGTCCCAAGAAAATAGCTTTCGTAGTTGTCTGGGCTTCTTATTTCCCCGTTCACAACAACAGGACAAGCTGTGAAACACATATGAAGAAATTCGAACACTTCACTTCTATCTAAAACTTGTGCTGACAATGTCGTTCAGAAGAACGATGGGAGCTCTACGACCAAACCATCCTGCTCTAAGGACAAAACTCCTTCAAAATTATCCACCTGAGCTAAAAATCTCCACCATCACAAAGAGGCATGTTACGCTACTGTCTTTAGTGGCCCAGGATCTGACTTCAATTAAGTCGTATGAATGTTCGTCATTGAATGATTGCTGTCAAAATATATATGTCACCTATCCTCGTATATTTCGTCGACTTAAATCGCTTTAGTCAATATCGGAATTAAATAAGTCAAATACGAGAATGAATTTCGAATACATATATTTCATACAATCTTTGATCCAGACAAAATATCGGGGAAGCGAAGCGAAATGAAGGGACGCGCAGTGGAGAATACGTTTGCGACAACTCCATTTAGTCAAGTGTTAGTCGATATTTATAATCACACAAAAATGAGTTACAGACATGTAATGAATAGGATAAGAAATGTACACAAACATATGCACTCACATAAAAACAGTCAAGTGTGATAGTTGAATAACTAACAAGGCCAAAATATGACTAAACTAGAATGAATAGATTGGGCTGTCCGAAAGCTAGAATAAAGTATATGGGCTTAACATTAATAAACGACACAACATGTCCAATGGTAGTATGCCACGTCAATATTCTAGAAAGTTCCAACATGCTCTGGTTGCATGGAAACTCTTCGGATCATTTAGAGTCTCTGTAGGCTTCGTCTTAGTTCTCGGAAGCCGTTTCAAGAAGAGTAATATAAATGGGCATAAAATTTTAACATTATTGAAGCCAAAATATTATTATTTTTATTTATTTCAACACAGATATTGGTACAAAGAGGCACCAAATACATATGCGCCACACAAATCTCATTTGATATGTGTGAGGGCTGTGATACTGCCCGGGTGCCCAGACCGAAGCAGGTGGGTTTCTTAGGGGGCCACTCTCCGATCCTTTGACCTGAAGGTCTGATCCACAAGGCAGTGGAGCATCGTCAGGAGATGCAGCCCCATGAAAGCCGGTGACCAACAATTGGTTGATACGCCATTTGTTCCCGCAGGATACTGGAGCCCATGTGCACCATTGGTTTAGAATCCGGTTAAAGCGCCGGACATTCGCTTTTCGTCCTCCCATTTTCGTAGACAACACCCCCGCCACGAGAAGGCAGTGAGTAGGACTTCCCTGGCAGAGGCCATATACGCGTGACCGTGTGAGAGCATTTCGAGAGAGAGGGCGGACTCTCCCCACTCTCGGCCATACCAGGGCATTTGGGGGCGAAGCCAAGATAGCTGTTCGATATAACATTGAAAGTTACGATAAGAGAAAGAAGATAGAGGAGATAATGAAAAATTTTGAAATGGAATAAATTCATTTCATTGTTTAAATACGGCGAGACTCTAATTTATGGACGACTTTGAACGAATCTTAAGTGACCCTGAGACATATTAGCCGATCAGCAAACAGTCAGTATAGAGTAAAAATATGTTATACAAAAACAAGGAAATAAAGTGGATGCACTTCTTATACGTGGTTCAAAAACTTGTCAAGGTTAGAAAGAGGTTCAGAGGTTCTAAAATCGTAATTCATGCAGTAGAGGAAATCATCCATATGGTTACAGAATAGTCGGCCTCTGGAGTCATGATCAAGTCTCAAATACTTCTTCAGCCTCGACCACATAGCTTCACTATTATTTATGTGCACTTCGGTTGTTCAGTGCACAAAATGCTACTTATGGACAACGACACAATGCACATAACCAAGCCTACGTAGGAGTCTATACGCTCTCCAAACATGCGTATATATTGTAGTACCTGGTTGCAGCCAGTGTTACTGGTGCTTTTATTATCCAGTTCGTAATAATTGTTGTAATTTGCCTTAGTTAGGAATTACATATGGGGTTTTCATCACGAACTGACATCAGCTGTATGCCAGAAATTTATTTAGTCAAATGGATGAATGACTTTCGCATTAAAATCCGAGATCTATTATCTCATACCTGATTGATTCGTTCACAAATTATAGTCTCGACATTTTATTTGTTATAGCCACTCAACTATCACTTTTTGTACAAAATTCCCTGTGAACCGATCGTACGTTAACATTAAGCACTGGAATTGGCGCCGTAACCCTGAAATCTCTAAGACGCTTCTGATTGGCTCGTCCATAAATTAGAGTATCGCCGTAGATACTAATATTCTTAATTTGATCAATTGTAGTGTCAGTTATTATGCCAAGCCCATATACCTTATTCTAGCTTCCGGATATCCCATTTTATTCATTCTACTCGAGCCATACTTTGACCTTGTTATTTATTCCCTTATCAATCTAGACTGTTTTTATATGAGCGTATATGTGTGTGCCCTTCTTATTCCATTAATCACATGTCTGTAGCTTTATTTTCTCTGACTATAAATATTGAGTAACGCTTGACTAAAATGGAGTTGGCTTCCCAGCCATCTTCCGTACGTGTCATTTTGCTTTGCTGTGCTTCATTCGCTTCATGTACGAAATATATGTATTCTCAAGTCAATTCTCGTTATTCGACTTATTTAATTCCGTTATTGGATAACGCGATTTAAGTCGACGATGATATCCGAGAATTGGCGATAACAAACATTTATACGATCTTGGAGTCAGATCCACGGGCCACCAAACAATCATAAAATTATTCAAAGATATACAAACGGAGAGATATGAAACTTGTATAGCAATCCTTATGTTAATTAGTTAGTAAATAGTTTTAACTATAAGTTCTTCTTCTTCTTCCACAAAACCCATCTAAAATAATCTTAGTTATGTAGCCAATGAGATTTATAAAAATGTATTATTACTAGTGGCTTTATTCAGCATTACATTTTTGGCACAATATAGAATTCTCAGCACAAAGTATTTCAACAAGCTTCCTTGTCTTACTTCTTTATCGATCCTTATGATAAATATTGAGTGGTTGCCAGTTAAATGTTAGCAGTTCACGAATCTACATCTTATTAATGTGTATTCTTTTCTATATATATTGCCAGCAACCATATTGTCTCTGATTGTGCTGTTTCCTAACTTGTACAGCGAAAGGCTGTAAACGTTTCACAAACCTACCTGAATAGCTTGTGAAATTAATTGATAATAATGATATGTTAAAACAAACAGAACAACAAATAACTTTTTGAAAGGTCTAAATAGCAGGAACAGGTAGCCCAGGTATTCAAACAGATCGCCTATAAGGTGTTGTGTCCTAATGTTTAAATAGTAAGAGCAGTTAGAATTATTTATCTGATATTTTAATGTTCTGATCAAGTGTTCGAGATTATGAAGATTTATATGATCCATTAATGATATGATTTTATACACTGACTAACTGAACAATTAGCAAGGGCCGCATACCTACAATTGAAGAACATATGGAACTGAAAATAACTGTCAACCAATATCGAAGTCCGAATCTTCAATACGAACGTCAAGACAGTTCTACTGTACGAAGCTGAAACTTCAAGAACTACTACAATCATCATCAAGAAGGTATAAGTATTTATAAATAGTTGTTCATGAAAAATACTCAACATCCATTGGACGGATAACATCAGTAACAGTCTTCTGTGGGAGATAACAAACCAGCTTCCAGTTGAAGTGGGAATTAAGAAGAAACGATAGAGTTGGTAGACAGAACATACATTACGGAAATCATCAAACTGCATCACGATGCAAGCCCTAACTTGGAATCGTGAAGGGAAGCGGAGAAGTGAAAAGCCAAATAACACATTACATCGGGACATAGAATCACATATGAAAAGGATGAATAACAACTGGAAAGAGCTGGAAAGAATTGCTCAGGACAGTGTTTGATGGAGAATGCTGGTGGGTGACCTATGCTCCTCCACGAGAATTAACAGGCATAAGTAAGTAAGTAGGTAACTGAACAATTAAACTTCATGTTAATGATGTAAACAATACCAGAACAAAGATTTTAAAAAAAGAGAAAAAATCATTGATTCATGTAAATTCAATTGTATTTTAACAAGAAAATATAATTTTAAACGCTAAATTATTATTATTATTATTATGTAAACAGTTACCATGTTTACCCTTCCATAATTAACAGGAAAACTGGGGGAAAAATATTTTTAATCAATAAGTTATTGATTTTTCGCGCATAATTGAATTCATTATTAAATGAAAATGATCACAGTTCTCATTGATGAAATGAATGTATCATATTCATAGTCTACGTATTATTGTTTGATCATAATCTTTTGTTAAGATCTTTTCAATTTTATAATTCTGAAAAAAAAGGAATAAATCAATAAATAAACAAGGTTTTTAATCGCTGGAACATTCCCATTATATTCCATACGACCAATAATCACTTCGAGGTTGAAAGATAAATTACCTAGACTATCCACTTCCTTCTGTATTTATCAATTCAACTGCTCATGTGGAGCAAGTTATATTGGCAGATGTTCTAGGAATATTTACATTAGAGCTCGTGAGCACCTCCCCGTGTGGTTAAGCAAAGGTGTAGTCAAAACTGTTAACAGCTCCATCTTACGTCATCTTAGGACATACAGCCAACATGGAGTAGTCTTTTGCAATAATCTATCGTGTTAACAGCAGTCTACCTAATTCCGTCAGACTGTGAATCCTACAGACGGCTGAAGCAATTGCTATTCAGATGAAAAAAGTCAGAGCTTTACATTCAAAAGAAATATGTTCAGCCACTTCTTTTACCCTGGCCAACTTTGGGGCCAACTAGTTAATAATTAATTTTATAATATAATGACGTAATCTGATTAATGTTCATTTAATGTCCCAAACATTATTATTATTATTATCTTTATACTTGATAACCTTTCACGAATTTATTCAATATCCACCCCTAAATCTTGAGATGGTGGAGAATCTACTATATCTGACCTCATTCATATTATCTTACATATTACGTAATTTCCGATATCTATTTCATTAGTTTCTCTCACACCCCATGTTGACCATATTTATTCTGATCATTATTTATCACACAATTTCATTTCACTTATAAACTGATTCAAGTCAACAACTTCATATTAGTCAACCCCAACATTAACGATCTGAATTGATTTTATATATGACAAACAACAATTCTCAATTGGCATATTACAATTTCCAAATGATGATGTACTCTCTGCCTTAAATTTGGCCAATTTTATGGATTATTAATTTGGATATGAGATAATTGTAGAACCTGATGAGAAATTCATTGAAAAGAATATTCTTCATTCATATAAATTGTGTTTTACTACTTATTTATCAAAAGTGGGTTTTATGGAGATTTTCAAGGTAGATCACCATGGAGAACCCTCTTCTGATAATTATTATCATGTATTTATTCGTGACTGACATCAAGAGGTATTTCCTGAAGTCCCAATGATAAGCTGTGACCAATAGAGTTCAACCATGTTTGTTGTGTGATAGTAACTCACTAAAGACAATAGTGGATAGTGGCGCAATTTCATGAACTGGTTGAAGTTAGATATTAACATCATTAGATGCCACCGGTTCAATGGTCTGAGGGTTAAACATTCTCGCACAAAACCGCGGGGTGGTATAATTTTGTATTGGCTACTGTATATTGTGTAATTTTTTTAAAAATTATTTATGATTGCAATCATTCAGTAATCAATTATTGTTCTGTTAATTTAACCATTTCATTCTCATATCATTGAAACCATACACTATTCGACTTTCACGAAATAATAGTAATAATAATAATTCTTATTATTAATGGCTCTATTCAGTATTATATTTTTGGTATTAGATAATGTTGTGGTCGGTATTCACAATATAAATCTTAAACTTCGTATACAGTTCGTCCTGATAACCGTCACTAGATAACGCCCTGACGGTCTATTAATCAGGAGGCGAATACAAAGTGTTGATTACGTTTACTATTGTACCACACACAGATACCCAAATTTATAAGTACGTTAAGCAAACATGAAAGAATAGTGCCAAAAAGCAAGCAGGCAAGCGATTGAGCATGCGAGTCGAATGAGTGAGCAAGTGAACATGATTAAAATGTACATAAATATACATAGTGAAATGAATGAATCATTGAACCAATTAAACGACTAATAGTAAGGCTAACAGAATGAATATATGTGTAGGCAGTAGGTAATGCTCAAGCATATATATTCATACAAGTGCAACAATAATAAAGGTACAATGGTTTAGATAAGTTGTTATTGTACAAATGACTCTATCCGTTAAATAAGTTAACAAAAGGGCTTAATTAAGCCCCATGAGCAAACTCAATTGCGCGTGAGCTACTATAATAGAATTATCAGCACAAAGTATTTCAACAAAATCCCTTTTCTGATTTCTTGATCTATCCTGACGATAAATGTTTACTGATCGCCAATTAAATGTTAGCAATTGAGTAATCGACATTTCAATAATATTCATTCTTTTCAATGAATTTTGTCATCCACCACGATATCTTTGATTGTACTTTTTTACAAGCTGTACAGCAAAAGGTCATAAACTTTTCACAAACGCACTTGATTAGGTTATGCGATTAAGGGACATAATGATGTGTTAAAACAAAAAAAAAACCCAGATAACTTGTTGAAATATCTAGATGGTAGTTCAGATATTTGAGCATACCCTCAGTTATGAGTTGATCTAAGCGAGACCACCATTGAAAACCCGATGGTCTAGCTTAGATCGTCTCATGAATTCAATTATTGAAGTCATTATAATCTTAACAAATCCCCTTTTGATAATATTATTATGATTAATATTATTACCATTATTATTATTATTATTATCATTATCGTCATTAAGTATCACTGAGCTTTTATTTTGGCAATCAACATCAATCTCATTTATTGTCTTTTATTAACAAATGAAACATATTCATTGCGGTTAATCAAGTCCTAATGTTAATCGTGATGATTATGGAACGTTATATTGACTATCTTATTAGTCAAACTAAATTACTTTATAGTGAAAATTCCCATTTTGCCATTTGGTAAATAAAGAAGGAACGAATTGAGCGAAGAAATTTCTTCGCTCAATTCGTTCCTTCTAAATTACTTTATGTATATATCATACAAGATTTCATTAGTATAACATTATATTGTTAAAAATAATGAAACGTTTAAAGTACATGAAGTGAATTCAGTTCATCTTTACACAATTTCAAGTGTTGTTCTTTTACTGAATTCTACTCAACAGAACTGACTGTGTGAAACCAGAACGATTTATATCACAGAGTGACATTAGTTAAGCGACCAATGAAAGACAGAAAGTATTGAATGTCTGTTTTGTTGTATTATTGGACTACTCAGAAGTACCCACCTAACACCCTATAGAGAATCGAATTAGAAGCTCTCCGGTGCTTTCACTTTTAGATCATTGAGTTGATATTCAATGGATTTAATATCTAACTTGAATTAATTGACGAAATCAGTTCATTTGTGTTCACTGATGCCTAGATTTTTTTGATCATGTAGTAAAAATTGAACTCTGTTAATTAATCACCTTGATAACCGTCATTATATCAATCCCAACGGTGTTTGAAATCAGAAGGCAATGAGAAGGGGTAACTACAGTTTATCAGCGGATAGCACAGACATCATAGTTATAAGTACATTGGGCAAATCTGAAGCAGAGAGGTGAATATGTGTATGCGACCGAATACAGAAGCGAATTTATAGCTAAATCGAATAAGGGCATAACAAGACAAGTCAAAATCTAATAATAGGATTCGAGTATATATATGGGAGAGAATGACTCATCGAGCGATATTTAAGCAACTAACGTTTAAGGTAGAGAGAGATATGTGCATAGACCTACATGTTTATACAGATATGATAGTGATCATATTAGTACACAGAAATATGCGAATCGTTACTGCTCGAATAACATTGCCTGTTAAGTAATTTAACTAAAGGGCTTCAAATATTAGCTGATAAGTGTAGTTAACCATTGTGATATTGTATTGAACGAACTCATAGGTGAGGAAGACCAATGTATTGTTTAATGCAAAGTTACAGTGTCTTTATCACATACGAAAAGAATATATTAAATACTTCATTTACACATCTTCCATCAATTGTCCCTTAAAAACATCTTTCCTTCATTCCTGTTGCTATTACGATTATTATCTGCTTGCATTCCTGATCTTCAATCGATCTAATCAACTTTCTGCTGTCAGACGTTACACTTCTGATTGGTGTTACATACTACTTATATCTGTCGACATAAGTAGTATGCACAACAGTATTATAGTTACTAACATTGATCTGAAACAGATATCTGTTACTTAAGTTTTTCAAAATTCATTTACAGTATAGAAGTCAGAAATGTTAAAACTGAGTGGGTTTTTTTTTAAAAGTTGATTAATTTAACTATTAGACCTAGTATGTTGACCCAGGTCAATTTATCTATTCTTCTTGAGACACGTTTAGACCTTGTTGATTATTCGCTTATCAACCCTGACTCTTTTTAGATGAGCAGGCGTATGTATGTACATGTTATCCTACTCATCAAATATCTGTAACTTATTTTTGTGTGACTACAAAAATCGATTAACACTTGGTTAAATGAAGTTTGCTCACACTGCTTCTCCATTTCGCACCGTCTCGTCTCGCTCTCTTTTCATCGCTTCATTCGTTGTGATTATTTGATTGTCTGTTCCAATCAACGAGTATACAAAATATACGTATTCAACCATTCATTCTCGTATTTGACTTATTTAATTTCGTTTTTCATGAACGTGAGTTAAGTCGATAATTCTATTATGAGGATTGACGATATGTATGTTTTGTTCTCTCCCAGCCTTTTGTGGGAGAGAACAAACCAACTTCCAGCTGAAGAGGAAATTAGGAAAGACGATGGAAATGGATAGAACATACATTGGGCAAATCGTCAAACTGCATCACGATGCAAGCCCTAACTTGGAATCGTGAAGGGAAGTGGAAAAGAGGAAGGCCAAAGAACACATTACGTCGGGAAATAGAATCAGATATGAAAAGGATGAATAACAACTGGAAAGAGCTGGAAAGGATTGCCCAGGATAGGGTTGGATGACGAATGCTGGTGAGTGGCCTATGCTCCTTCACGAGGAGTAACAGGCGTAAGTAAGTAAGTAAGTAAGTAATAATGATAATCATACGATATAATTGGAGTCAGATCCCAGGCTACGAAAAGGGAAAACTACTGAAAACTATTCAGATGTACTCAAATACTTACTTGATCAATTGATTTTCTTATTTTTTGTATCATTTTATCATGTAAACCAATCATAAAAATAGCTTTAACTCTTAATGATGCCATTGCATTCAGTTGATTCGCTATTATATAATTCATTTCTGTTGTCTACATAAGAAAATGATTAAAAAATTTTTTCGGTACAAGATGAAAGTTTCCAGTTTTATTGTTTTGTTTGTTTAAGATCATTTTCATTTAATACTGAAATTCATGGATTGATCTGTATCAAGTTAGAATAATAATTCTTTAAAGGGAACTAATTGAATGAAATTTATGAATAAAGCTTAGGGAATATTGAATTTTCGGTGACCAGTGGAGCTCAACCGAATCTGTTGTGAACTAGTAACTCACTGAAAACAATGGTGGATGTGTCGGTCAATTTTGTGCATTAGTTGAAGGTAGACAATAACACCGTTGGATACCGACTCAGTAGTCAAGAGGTTATGTGTCCGCGCGTGAGACCGATAGGTCCTGAGTTCGAATCTCGCGAGGTTAGGTCGTGGATGCGCACCGCTGAGGAGTCCCACAATAGTATGGAACGGCCATCCAGTGTTTCCAGGTTTTCCATGGTGGTCCGGCTTTGATTGACTCATGATCTCAACAACTAAATATTGAATTGTTTTTTATTTGGTGTTAACTGAACGATTTAATATATCATATTGATGGTTGTGTAATAGTTCTTTTGGTAAATGTAGGTGATTTTTTTATATTTTGATGTTAGCCAAAGTATTTGTATAAAGTGAGAGAATATCTGCAACTTTCATGAATCAGATTATGACTACCGAGAAACAAGTATCTACACATTCACAATGAATGATCTCGACCGTCTTTCATCGTCTTCGATGGGTTATCTCGCAATATCGTGGATTCAAACCCGCGAGCGGGACCGTGGATGCGCACTGCTGAGGAGTCCCACAATAGGACGAAACGGCCATCCAGTATTTCCAGGTTTCCAAAGATGGTCTAACATCAATCGGTTCATGATCTCAATCAAAAACTTAATAATATCCACAACCCCTATGCTAGTAAAAAAAAACAAATATTGATTTGCTTACTAAGTTTTCAATAAAACGTTTCTTCATCAATTTCAATCGATTATTAGTTGATCTATAAAATAAATCAATTAAAAGAGATCCTACTTAACGGCATCATTTAAGAATTGTTTATCTTTTTCATCTTTTATTTTCAAATGTTTCTGCAGTTTCTCTTTCCTAATATAAATGAATGTTATATTAGTTCCATATGTAGTACATTTGTTTACGGTGCATTCCTTTCATACGTTTATCTGTTCTCATTTTTGTATCAATGATTGATTTATTATGATTATTCTCTTCAGACATTGGTTTATTGATCCTTTTGGTATAAATACAATAAATTATCTCGATTATAAGTTCTAACTTTGATAAGTCTGCGTATAGCTTCAAGGTAATTTATATCCAAGGATAATTTGAAGGATAGCGTGTGTGAAAGATTCTGGAAGATAGAAGAATAAAAGAAAAAAAGTGAATTGGTTACTCAATAAGAACGTAGAATACAATTAAATCGAGATTAGATGGTGGTTGGAGGTAGTCGACAGGAAACCCTGGACCCGGGTTTCGTGCTACTTGGCACTAGTCAGCAATGTGTATCTGTAATCTTGAGGAAACTGGTGATCCCTGGCGGATTCGATCCTGTGTCACCCAGCTTCACAATCAGAGACGTTACCACACATGACAGTGATCACCACCCAGTGATCAATCAGTTGTGATTACAATTACATCAAGTACTAAAACTAATCAATAACGGTTAGTAGTAATACAAATATGAGATTAAGACAATCGGATAATAGAAATCAGAAAGTGGTTGCCAAGAAGAGCTGAGGTTATTTTATTTTATTTTGTATTGAATCAATTGTTTTCCTGAAAGAATAACCTTGATGATACTTTCCCTCAGTGACCATTTTTTACTATATAATTGACAGTCGTTTTTAGTTTATTAATTTCATTTTGTCCCAAAGTCATTGGGAATGAATGTATCAATAAAGATGATCTATTTTGATTGTTGACTTCTATTTGGAATATAAAGCTATCTTAAAAGTGCTTTCACCTCCATCACATATTAGTGTGTGGATTATTAAAAATGAAGTACCAGTGAGTATTCATTACCGTTTTTGTCGAGTCCGCCACAAAAACCGAAAATATAAAAAAAACTAAATTTCTTTGTAATTAGTAATTATTATAGACCCATACAAGATACAACAGTCGTAAATTTAGATTTCAAATAAGTAACATTATCAGTAGTTTACAGATTTGATCACTCCACTGTTCGATAGTTCAACAGCAAACAAAAGTCCTGCTGTCATGTCGTGAATGGTTAATAAATCCTAGCAATCAATTTGCCAAATAGTCATTAATTTAAGTCACTTAATATCTCAGTGCACTAAACTGTGACCGAATTGTAATTTACTCGGCAAAATTCTATTAGTACTAAGGTAGTTTATAGTTATATAATATACCCTTGTGAGCCAGGGTAATTTTACATTGGTTTTCAGGGGAACCAGACACCATCCAGACTTTCACGTGACAATCCAAACAGTACAGCTCAATCCCGTTTAAAAGGAGAGCCAGACACCGTTGAAGCTTAAAATTTGTAGCCCGAATAGTACGGCTCAATCCCGTTTCTGGGAGAACCAGATACCATTTTAGGCTTTAGCACTACAATCTGAATAGTACAGCTTAATCCTGTGGAGCAACCACACACGTATCAAGTACCCTGGTGGGTCAGTACTACGGTAAACGTTACATGAAGTTGTTTATTATCGAGTAATTGATTGGTATAAAAATCTTATTTAAACAAAAACATTAGTCGAACCTTGGATAACTCTATAGCATATTCTTCAATCACGACGGTGATGGTACTACTCTTAAAATGAATATTAGTTTCCCTAAAATTTCAATCATACTATCCTAAACGCATACTAAATTAAACGAAACTTTAGGATAACATAGATGTCGTCTCTGTTCAGTTAACATCAGATATGATTCTTTTTAATATGATTTCCATAGTTTAATATATTACATATTCATATATCAGCGACAAAGATTTTTCCACGTTATATTGAAATCACTCAACGTTATAGATTATATGATACTCAACTAAAATTTCATTCTTATTTCGCTGACAACTCAATTGTATTAACATCTATATCTTTCTACATAAAATAATTAAGTGAAATTGAAAGCTAGTATGAGAATTACTGAGGATCATAGAATATAGAGAAGTTTATATTCAAGTCATTCAACAAACCGTTAGCATACAGGCCAATTGGAAAAATGACAACCAAGTACAAGGTCAGATGTCATTTAAAGGAAGCATAACATAACATCAAAAACTTAATGATCTCCACAACCTTATATTGATAATTACCATGCGCTCACTAGCGACTAGCTTCGTGAGGGAAGTCTCGGATCTAATCGGTGTCGGGTAGAGATAAGTATCTACCTCAGTACAATGAAAGACACTCGCGCAATTTCATTGATTGGTTGAAGTTGGACATGAACATCCATTGGATGTCGGCCGGCTCAGTAGTCTAGAGGTTAAACCTTCACGCGCGAGACTGAAGGCCCTGGGTTCGAGTCCAGCGAGCTGGATCGCGGATGCGCACTGCTGAGGAGTCCCACAATAGGACGAAACAGCCATTCAGAGCTTCCAGGTTCCATACGGTGGTCTAGCATCATTCAGTTCATGATCTCAATAAGAAACTTAGTGATCTCCACAAACCTATACTGATATATGATAAAACAAATTTTAGTAACCATCAATAACATTTTTATAGGGTATTTAGTCAGCCGCTTATGATAAAATTTTGATTACTCATCCCTTCTTATATTTTTATCGATAATAACCTCATAATTGAATCATTTATTTAAAAGAACGGATCACGAATAGAGTCTCAAGTTAGATCTAGAGTTAAACGGAAGCTAGTCACCTGACGAATAGGATTTATCAATGATTTTTGTAGGATGACATGTAATGGTTCCTCAATGAGCAATCTAAGCTCTGGACATACACAAAGAGAACGTTAATGAAAAGTTTGTAACGTTAGGAAAGCGAGACTGCCGTGAAAAATAACAAAACGTTCTTTCAAATCTATTACAATATTTCATCAACAGTGACCCTAAGTGAGGTCACCAAGAGTAATCTACTCAAATGTAGAGTGAGAAACATGAGCAGAAAAATAAAGATCATAGAAAACAACACAAAATGACTTAAATAGGTAAAACACCAATGGCAATACAAGTATGCATAAAGCTGATCTAAGGAATCTTCTTCAATAATCACGTTACGTGTGCAATTTTTGAACTGGGAAACAGGATTTTTTCAAATCGCATAACAGAAAACATTATAAACTTTAAGAAATTATAAACCTCGAATCATGGGGTATTCAAATGTCAATTGCACTGTTGGAAAACGCAAACAAAGTGAAAGTGTCCCATTCAATCAAGGGAATAAGGACGAAATTGTAACATTTACTATCAGAAAACATTACACGGATAGGTTAACAAAGAATATCAGTAATTAACAAACAAAAATCAGATGTTATATATCGTAAGTAGTCAAATCATCAAAGGTAGGAGGGATTTAAAAGAGTAGCCGGCATGAAAAACTAAAGGATGAATGTAATGTAGAATAATGCCATAGGTATAAAACCAAACTAAGTCGTAATAATATCAACGGATAGGACGAGTAGTACGCCACACAAATAAACTACTGAATAATAATAAGTAGTGTAACGATAAATACAAATGAGAGCTGTCAGGGAAAGCGGAATATGAGGTAACACCGTGTATTTCGAGAAAAATTTATAATAAGTGTATATATTTTGAAAGTCAAATTTCAGTAAACATCTGGGCGGTATATTCCACTGAAGTCTGTGTTGTTCAAAATTGTAATTCCGTTGAAAATCACTTTTCCATCCTTATAACTATTTCAAATTGATACGTTATGTATATATTAACAATAAATATGGTATGTATGGGTCTTTTAAACATCCCAGTCAGCTATGTTTATATGCAAGTTACCAGGTAAAAATGGCGATCGTTTGGTAAAGTTGTGAACATTCATTAGCTAAGCTTGTTGAGACACTGTATCAGTGAGCGATATTTGCCTAGGTTATAAATTGTAGGTTGTAAGAAAAAGAACGGGGACAAAACCAAGATGTGGCACCAATAATTGTAGTAATTAACTAGCCGTGTCGGTAGATACATATTATTTGTCTGGAATTATCGTAATTTTTATTACCACTCGTTGAATAATGAGCAACATAGCTCAGGATCGGTTTTAAAAGAGCAGATAAATTCACTTCCGAGATCTGAAGTTCTAGAATTGTTTTGTAATTTATATTTCGGGAATTTGTTTTTTCCTCTCGATTTAAATTGTCTATAACATCAGCAACAACCTACTATGTGAGAGAACAAACCAACATCCTGATGAAGAGGAAATTAAGAAAAGATGATGGAGGTGGATTGAACCTACATTGCAGAAATCACCGAACTGCATTACGAGGCTAACGCCAACTTGGAATCCTGAAGGGAAATAGAAAAGAGGAAGACCAAAGAACATATTGCTTCGGGAATCGGAAATAGACATAAAAAGGATGAATAGCAACAGGAAAGTACTGGAAAGGATTGTCCAGGACAGAGTTGGATGGAGAATCCTGATGAGCGGCCTATGCTTTTCCATGGGTGGTTACAGGCATAAGGGAGTAATACTATCACTGATACCGTTACCATTTCTAATGATCTGACATTTTTCCTAATCATTTCGTCTCCCCCTCTTGATATGGTGCGACTGATTGAACCATTACACATATATGTAGAACTCTACGTTGCCTATTACTGACTGTTTGTCTATCACTCATTTTAAGAAATATTTTAGTGAATGAGAGCAATATTGATAATTTGAGAATGGTTTATCAATATCATTCCGTTCTATCTACAGAATAAGTTGTTAATCACCTTCAGAGTCATTTAATAGCTCTATTCATTCTAATATCAATGACAGATTATTTAGAAAGATGAAACTTCACCATTAAATCATTCAACTCTCATTGTTCAAGATTATCATAAAACATCCTTTTGAAGAGCTCTTCCACTATCTCATGATGTGTTTAAATTAAGCTTTAGGTTTGGCCCATAGGAAACCTAGCATGAGTAAGCAATTCTCTAAATATTGTAAGACTGATTCATTGAGCACTTAACCACTAGACCACTGAGCCGGCATCCAACGGTGTTAATGTGCTCGCGCGCGAAACCAGTAGGTCCTGGGTTCGAACCTCACGGGGTGCGAGGTCGTGGATGCG